GGGGGGAAATGGGAGGGGGAGATGAACCATGAGAGATGATGGACTGTGAAAAACAAACTGAGGGTTTCTAGAGGGGAGGGGGTGGGAGGATGGGTTAGCCTGGTGATGGGTATTAAAGAGGGCACATTCTGCATGGAGCACTGGGTGTTATACGCAAATAATGAATTATGGAACACTACATCAAAAACTAATGATGTAATGTATGGTGATTAACATAACATAGTAATTAAAAAAAACGTTGAAAATAAAAAAAAAGTGAAAGAGTCAGGGAAGATATCTGCAAAGTATAAAACTGACAATGAGTATATATCCATTATAAGAATTCCAAAAATTAATTAGAAAGATAAACACATCAATGAAAAACTAAGAAGGGGTGGGCGCCTGGGTGGTTCAGCTGGTTAAGTGTCCAACTCTTGATTTTGGCTCAGGTCATGATCTTGGGGTCCTGAAATCGAGCCCCGTGTTGGGCTCCTCCAAGCTAACAAGGGAGTCTGCTTTTCTCCCTCTACCCCTCCCCTATATGCGCACATGTGTGTGTGCATTCTCTCTCAAATAAATAAATATTTTTTTTAAAAACTGAGGAAGAAACCTGAACAAATACTTCATCCCCAAAGAGAATACAGAGAAGGCCAATAAGCATACAAAAAGGTCCTAGCCTCATTATTAGGCAGGAAAATGCAAACTAAAACCACAATGAAATACCACTACGTATCTACCAGAATAGCTAAAATTCAAATCAAAAACTTTCAGCACCAAGCGCTGATGAAGATATAGAGTAATGGGAACTCTTATATACTTCTGATAGAAATGTTAACTATAATAACCATTTTTGGAAAGCAGTTTGGCATTATATACTAAAAGTAAAGATACACATACCTGGTGACTCAATAATCCCACTCCAATGTAGTATAACTGACAGAAACATGTCATGTGTGTACATGTTCATGACAGCGCATGAACATTCATATCAGCATTATCGGTAATAGGCCCCAAATGCAAACGACTGAAAAATGGATAATTGGAGCGTATTCATACAGTGGAATAGTACACCAGCAATGAAAATGAATAAACTACAGACACAGGCAACTACATGGATGAATTTCAAAACTGCAATGTTGAACAAAAAGAACCAGACACAAAAAATACATTGTATATTACTCTATTTACATCTTGTGTTCCCTCTCTCACTGTGTCTCTGTCAAATAAATAAATAAAATCTTTAAAAAAAATTAAAACATTTATAATAATAAAAATGTTGAATACCACTTTATCTAAAAATTATGACATAGCTGCAATAGGAATCTAAGAGAATATAAAGAAGGAACTCAGAAATAACTTATTTTAATTAATGTAGCCACTATAATCATTAGATCTTACTAAAGATAGTGTAAAACCATGATAATAGTTAATAAAAGCAACAAAATTTATTAATAAGAAGCACAAAATGAAAACTTAAGGATTCTGGCTCCAGAAACCATGAAAGAAAGCCCTGATAGATCTGATTACATAAACATTAAAACTGTATTTCTGCAAAAAATCTGAGTCAAAACATTAATACATTAGGAAAAATGACAAATGGTTAATTTTCTCAATATAAAAAGAACTCCTACAAATCAAATATATGAACAAAGACCCTGTAATGCCAAAACTGTAAAACATTACTGAGAAAATTTTAAGATCAAAAGATCAAAATAGAAAGATATTTTATTACAATATTGAAACGTATCAATAAAATATTCTAAAAATGTTAATTTTCTCCAAGATTTATATATACAATGAGGGGCGCCTGGCTGGCTCAGTCGGTAGAGCATGTGACTCGTGATCTCACAGTTGTGACTTCAAGCCCCACGCTGGGTGTAGAGATTACTTAAAAATAAGATCTTAAAAAAAAAAAAGATATATACACAATGAAATTCCAGTCAAATTCCTAGCATGGTTATATACATGGTGGAAATTGTTAAGCTTATTCTAAATGTATATGGAAACACAAAAAGCTAAAAAGAACAAGGTGAAAAGATTTAGAGATACATGAAAACATTCTTTATAAGACATGAAGACTTTTAAAACTACAGACCAATGAATCAGAATAGAAACCAAAACTAGACTCAAAATACATGAATACCTGATTTATGGCAAAGGGGGCAAGGCAAAGGAATGGAGAGAAGACAGCCTTTTCAATAAAGAGTGCTTGGTCAAATGGATGTCCAAATGGGAAAAATATGAAACTTTATCTGTACCTCAACACATAAAAATCAATTACTGGTTAATTGTACATCAAGGTGTGAAAGGCAAAATAATAAAGCTTCTACAAGATAATATGAGAGAATATCTTCATGATCTCCAGGTAGAGAAAGATTTCTTAAACAAGACAAAAAAAGTACTGATCATAAAGGAAACAACAGATAAACTGTTATTATGTTAAAAATTATAAACTTCTATTCATCAAAAAGCATCATTAAGAGTGAAAGACAGACAAATGTAGGGATCCGAAGGGGTACATGCACTCCAATGTTTATAGCAGCAACGTCCACAATAGCCAAACTGTGGAAAGAGCCAAGATATCCACTGACAGATGAATGGATAAAGAAGATGTGGTATATATATACAATGGAATATTATGCAGCCATCAAAAGGAATGAAATCTTGCCTTTTGCAACAACGTGGATAGAACTGGAGAGTGTTATGCTGAGCAAAATAAGTCAGAGAAAGACATATATCATATGACCTCACTGATATGAGGAATTCTTAATCTCAGGAAACAAACTGAGGGTTGCTGGAGTGGTGGGGGTGGGAGGGATGGGGCGGCTGGGTGATAGACATTGGGGAGGGTATGTGCTATGGTGAGCGCTGTGAATTGTGTAAGACTGTTGAATCACAGATCTGCCTCTGAAACAAATAATACATTATATGTTAAAAAAAAAAGAAGAAGATAGCAGGAGGGAAAGAATGAAGGGGGGGAAATGGGAGGGGGAGATGAACCATGAGAGATGATGGACTGTGAAAAACAAACTGAGGGTTTCTAGAGGGGAGGGGGTGGGAGGATGGGTTAGCCTGGTGATGGGTATTAAAGAGGGCACATTCTGCATGGAGCACTGGGTGTTATACGCAAATAATGAATTATGGAACACTACATCAAAAACTAATGATGTAATGTATGGTGATTAACATAACATAGTAATTAAAAAAAACGTTGAAAATAAAAAAAAAGTGAAAGAGTCAGGGAAGATATCTGCAAAGTATAAAACTGACAATGAGTATATATCCATTATAAGAATTCCAAAAATTAATTAGAAAGATAAACACATCAATGAAAAACTAAGAAGGGGTGGGCGCCTGGGTGGTTCAGCTGGTTAAGTGTCCAACTCTTGATTTTGGCTCAGGTCATGATCTTGGGGTCCTGAAATCGAGCCCCGTGTTGGGCTCCTCCAAGCTAACAAGGGAGTCTGCTTTTCTCCCTCTACCCCTCCCCTATATGCGCACATGTGTGTGTGCATTCTCTCTCAAATAAATAAATATTTTTTTTAAAAACTGAGGAAGAAACCTGAACAAATACTTCATCCCCAAAGAGAATACAGAGAAGGCCAATAAGCATACAAAAAGGTCCTAGCCTCATTATTAGGCAGGAAAATGCAAACTAAAACCACAATGAAATACCACTACGTATCTACCAGAATAGCTAAAATTCAAATCAAAAACTTTCAGCACCAAGCGCTGATGAAGATATAGAGTAATGGGAACTCTTATATACTTCTGATAGAAATGTTAACTATAATAACCATTTTTGGAAAGCAGTTTGGCATTATATACTAAAAGTAAAGATACACATACCTGGTGACTCAATAATCCCACTCCAATGTAGTATAACTGACAGAAACATGTCATGTGTGTACATGTTCATGACAGCGCATGAACATTCATATCAGCATTATCGGTAATAGGCCCCAAATGCAAACGACTGAAAAATGGATAATTGGAGCGTATTCATACAGTGGAATAGTACACCAGCAATGAAAATGAATAAACTACAGACACAGGCAACTACATGGATGAATTTCAAAACTGCAATGTTGAACAAAAAGAACCAGACACAAAAAATACATTGTATATTACTCTATTTACATCAAGTTTTAAAAGCAAAACTAGGGCACATGAGTGGCTCACTCAGTTAAGAGTCTGCCTTCAGCTCAGGTCATGATCTCGGGGACCTGGGAGGGAGCCCCGCGTCAGGCTCCCTGTTCAGTGGGGAGTCTTCTTCTCCCTCTCCCCCTGCTCATGCTCTCTCTTTCTCACTTGCTCACTCTCTGTCTCAAATAAATAAAATCTTAATAAAAGCAAAACTAATATATGGTATTATAAGTCAAGATAGTGGTTATCTTTGGAGGGAATAGAAAGGGATAGTGGCTGAAAGGGGGCCAGGGGACTTCTGGGATGCTACTAATGTTCTATTTCTTAAGAGTGGAGGTTACATGAGTGTGTTCACTTTGTGGTAATTACTGAGCTGTGTACTTATGGTCTGTGCACTTATTTTGTATGTGCATTATGCTTTAATAAAAAAGAAAAAAATTGGGGTGCCTGAACCGGTGGCTCAGTCGGTTAAGCGTCTGCCTTCGGCTCAGGTCATGATCCCAGGGTCCTGGGATCGAGTCCCACGTTGGGCTCCCTGCCCAGCAGGGAGCCTGCTTCTCCCTCTCCTCCCTGCTCATGCTCTCTCTCACTATCTCTGTCTCTCTCTCAAATAAATAAATAAAATCTTTAGGAAAAAAAAAAAGAAAGAAAAAAATGTGCATCTCTTTAACAGACACTGTTTCGAATATATGCATATCATTCTCTTATGACCTCTATTTGGTAACAATTGAGAGGTGCTTGGTGTCATACTTAGAGAAGTGGGGATAGGGATAACTTATATTTGTTCAAGGATTTAAATATAATCTCTTCATAAAATTTAGTATTGACATAAAGAAAATGATTTGGCAAGGTGCAACTATAAAAAATATTTTTACCTGCAAGAAATCAATCTGCATACAAGCGCTAGTCAATTTTGGTGTCAATAAACAAGTGTCTGTCGTGCGGTTTTCATATTCAATACTATCTGGAAACTGACCACATTCTAGCTGTGAGCTGTGTCCTCTGACCATCACAGCACTAGTAGCTGATCCTTTCACTTGGTGTCCTTGAAACTCAACAGGCTACAAGGAAATTATTAAAAATGAGTATTGCAATAAATACATATTGATATATAGTCACAATGTATATATACACAGGAAATAAATAACAATTTAGCTTTCTATTAAATACTACTTAATGTAAATAATTATAAGTGACAAATACTGAAAACCAGAAAAACTAATTATCCTAACACATGCTAATTATAAAACATAAATCGGTTATTGATTTAATTGAATTCAAGTTCAACATTAATAAATATGAATTTTTTATTAGGAGCATAAGAAGTATAGTTATAATGGACTAATTAAACCAGAAAGATATAGTTGTTCCTTTCTCTATGCTTCCCCTGTACATTATACAACTTTCCATTATAGACTTATCACATTATACTACAATGAAGTTTCTTTTCATATATACCCTAACTGTACTGTAAGCTCCTTGAGGGAAGAGACCTGTTTGTTTCATCAGGGTATCACGTGCATTTAACACCATGCTTGGCATATCGGAGGCAGTCAATAAACATATGATAATAGGAAGTAAGGGAAGAAATACAGGAAGGATTTTCCTTTGTTCAGGCATTTTGTAAACTATCAGGCTTCACAGAAGAGGGATGGTGGGTTCTCTCCCAGAAGATCTGATCCTATTGCTCTGAGAACAAAGGCCTGAGAATGTGATGCCAATACAGACATGTACTTCAGAGAGGTACTGTGATCTCCTCACAGACCTGATCAGCTTTCAGGCTTCAAATGGCTTTCTCTGCTGCCCCCTTGAGGGTTCTAGGATTTTTATTCCTCACAGGGTGACAAAGCCTACCCAGAAAGTGGAAAATTAAGATTGCTAATAGAGCCAAAGGAATGTAAAGGATGAATTTATTTCTAACTGATAAATTAACAACAAAATTATGATAGTAAATAATCTGAATATTCTCTTATTTTAGGATGAAGATTCTATATCACACATTTGAAAGGAAAATTAAATCTAAAATGTCCCTTATACTTTTGCTGAAAATATCTAAATTTTAAAACATACACATTTCAATTAAAAAAGTCTCAACGGTTAGACTGTATATTTCTGATTTGTTTGATAGGGAATACACATTTTCTACAAGCAAATAGATGCCCTGTTTTCTATGCTTCCATGTAGATCTCTTCTAAAGATCTGTTGAGTTTTAGGAATAGAATCATTATTTGTAAAACCCAACTATTTATATGCTGTTTTCCCTCCGAATTTTTGATATGGAGTAGATGGCACTACTTAGAGCTTGGGTTATATATACTTCTACAGAAGTAGGACTGGTAGAGGAGACTATAATATGTTCAAGGCTATAAAGATCTTCATTTTGTTCTCGGCAGAACATTCATTATTTATACTTTATTTATCTTCCTGTCCAACCTCTAGGGGTATGCATCATATATATGCATGATGCATTATTAGCTCACTAGTAAAGAGAAAGGGCTCAAGATCAAACAAGGGGTAGCAGTCATTAGTTTTTCTTGTTCCTAAAACCAGGTTAATTCATTATGCTCATTGACCTTCTGACCATGAAAACTCTGAGAATGGTATAAAAAACAGCAGGAAAAGACAGTGGATTAGAAAATCAAAGTTGGGGTGCCTGGGTGGCTCAGTTGGTTAAGCGACTGCCTTCGGCTCAGGTCATGATCCTGGAGTCCCGGGATCGAGTCCCGCATCGGGCTCCCTGCT